TACGACATGGAGCTCCTGGAAGTGCTGGCCGTGCCAAAAGGTCTTTGACACCCGGGCCAAGTTGAGCGTCCACTTCTTCAAGACCCACAAGCGTGTGGCGGAGTACCGCAACTACATGGTTGGGTCTACTTGCTCTGCGTGCCAGACGCAGTACTGGAGTGGTGGCCGCTTGGCGGCCCACCTGCGAGCGTCACCAACCTGTGTGAGTTGGCTGCGCGGCCAAGGGCTCGTCCAGGGCGATCTGCTACCAGGCTTTGGCAGCCGGAAGTTCAGGCAGCAGGAGGTTGCGCAGTTCACGCCTTCCATCCCCCAGGCCCTGGGCAGTCCTGCCCAGGACACTACGGAGGCAACGTGGGAGCTAGCGCACAAGCGGTTCTACGAGGCCTTGTGTGACGTGGCGTTCCAGGCGACCTCTGGGGCTGAGTTTGCGGAGAAGATCCAGGCCGTCCTGAAAGACCTCCCGGTGTACCCGGACGAGATCTGTGCCTCCCTGGAGAAGCTTCAGACGGAGATGGAGCTCCTTTATAACAGCGACCCCACCGGGCACTGGACCCGCCAGACCTTGGACGAAATCTTCGCGGTATGTGCAGAGGTGCTCCTTGAGGTCAGCGAGACCCAGATGTGTGAGCCGACTGCACGAGATCAGACCTTTGAGGCATTCCATGCACAGATGGATGCTGTGGAGTGGGAGCAGGTCATTGCCGACAAGGTGAAGAAGTACGGGACCCAACCGAGTTCCTCGTTCCACCTACCGGATTCCTGGGAAGCTGAGTGGGATTTCGGTAGTGAGGCTCTTGGCGACCCAGCCGTGCTTGATAGGCCATTGTCCATACTCCCGCGATGCTTGCAACAGACTTGGCAAGCTTTCCTTGAAGGTCAACGACCAGTCCTTTATGCGCCTGAGGCGTTTTGGACGCACCCCATTGCTAAGCCTTTCCGCAGCTTTGGGGCACAGTTTGCAAGTAATTAAGCGGCGCACTCCTCTGATCGCACGGAAATGCGGAAAATATATATGGGTGATAAGTATAGCTACCCTACTTCTAGCCCCACTTATAACTACCCATGAACCTCCGCACTACACCCAAACCCTATAAACCCCTGAACCCTAACCACCAGACCAAAAGCCTGAGAAGGGAAAAGGTTTCAAGAGGGGGCTCCCAGTCACCCGAGGTTCCCCAAAGACTCCTTAATTAAGGAACACCTAGGGTTCCTTAAAGGGATCCTTAAAGGGATCTATAGGGTTTAGGGTTTAAGGGATTCTAATATCCCTGAATTAAGGAATATACCTTCAATTATAGTAGCATCCCTAATATATTTTAACGTATATTCCTTAATGAAGGGATATTGGAGTCTCTGGGTCTGTGGTTGCGACCTCAACATAGGACCACGTGAACCCCCATAACATCCTTACACAACCAGCTGCCAGCCTCTGAAATTCCTACCAATGCATCACTGCGACGTTTGCTCAGGGGCATCTTCAATGTAACATCAGGCTTATTACCAATATACTTATACCAACTATCATGTACTCATAATATATGCATTTATATATGTAAATCCCTTATGGGAACCCAAGAAACGAAGAACTGAAACCCCTCGGAAAGGGCCTAGACATAAACTGCATGTAAAGCCAATGAAACAGGACGAAGAGCAGAAAACCAAAACTAGGGTCCCGAAGGCATCTTCACAACTGTCATGGCTACACAACCCTGTAAAGCCCTGATGTCATAAGCTTAGCACGAAGAAACCACTTGATATGGGCCAAGCAGAAAAAAGATATCTAAATCAGGGGCTTGCGGTTACAGGTTGCGCCCCAAACCTTCATCCCCTAAACCCAAGGCCCTAACAACCTAAACCCAAGGCCCAAGAGGCATCTTCAGGACCGTCATGGCGGCCGGGCGTTCCTCTCTGGACACCGCCAGGCACCGCCGGACCTGTTTGTTAGAAGGGTTGGTTTATTTAGGGTTTAGGGAATAAGGTTTAGGGTTTAGGGAATAAGGTTTGGGGAATAGGGTTTAGGGTTATTTAGGGAATAGGGTTTAGGGGTTGGCCTTAAGGGCTTTGGGGCTGTCGGAACTTCAGGGTTTTCGAGGTTTTCGAGGATCAGGGCTTCATAGGGTTCGTCGGGCCCCGGCTTTGGGGTTTGGGTGTTCAGGGGTGTTCTGGATTCAGGATTTGAAGGCGTTCTAATGGGTGTCTTTTAAGACTTGCTTTCTAGACGGGCCTTGGTCTGACGAACCGAAATTTCAAGACAGTCTTCTTTTAGTAGGTTGTGTTTCGTTACTCGTAGAATTCATGATATTCGTACTATTGTTGAAAATTGAGACTGTTGTTGTTGATGTTGTCGTCGTGGGTGTCGTCGTTGTTGTCGTCGTTGTTGGCGTTGTCGTTGTCGTTGTGGTCGTGGTTGTGGTAGTTTTGGTTGTTGGGTGCGGTTGTGGCTGTTGTTACTGATGTTGCTGTCGAGGCTGCTATTGCTGCTGCACTGGTTGTCGTTTGTTGCTGCTACTGCTACTGATGTTGACGTCACTATTGCTGCTGTCGTCGTTGCTACTGCTGCTGCTGTTGTTAATGATAAATGCTCATGTTGCTGATGCTGATGCGGGTGTTGCTGTTGCAGTTGCTATTGCCATTGCCGTTGCTGGTGCTGCGGCTGTTGCTATTGATGATGTCGTTGTTGTTGCTGCTGTTGCTGTTGTTACTGCTTTTGCTGTTGTTGTTGATGATGCTGTTGAAGTTTGTGTTGTTGTTGCTGTTGGTGTTATTGCTATTAATGTGGTTGTTGTTGGCGGCGGCGAGGGTGGTGGTGGTGGTGGTGGTGGTGGTGGTGGTGGTGGTGGTGGTGGTGGTGGTGGTGGTGGTGGTGGTGGTGGTGGTGGTGGTGGTGGTGGTGGTGGTGGTGGTGGTGGTGGTGGTGGTGGTGGTGGTGGTGGTGGTGGTGGTGGTGGTGGTGGTGGTGGTGGTGGTGGTGGTGGTGGTGGTGCTGCTGCTGCTGCTGATGTTGTTGTTGCTGCTGATGATGCTGTTGTTGTTGGTGTTGTTTGTTGTTGCTGTTCATGATGATGTCGCTAGTGCTGGAGTTGGTCTGGTTGTTGGTGTTGCTGTTGCTGCTGCTGGTGCTGCTGTCGTTGTTGCTGTTCCAGGTGTTGTGGTTGTTCGTTGTTGTTGCTGTTTGTGGTGGTGGTGGTGGTGGTGGTGGTGGTGGTGGTGGTGGTGGTGGTGGTGCTGCTGCTGCTGCTGCTGCTGCTGCTGCTGGTGGTGCTGGTGGTGCTGGTGGTGCTGGTGGTGGTGGCGGCGGTGGCGGTGGCGGTGGCGGTGTTGCTGCTGCTGTTGTTGCTGTTGTTGGTGGTGCCATTTGGTGGTGGTGGTGCTTGTGCTGGTGCTGGTGCGGGTGAGGTTATCGTTATCGCTTTCTTTGCGGTATGTTGTGGTTGTGGTTGTTGTTGTTGGTGGCGGCAGGCGGTGGTAATTTGGTGGGTGGTTTTGGCGACGGCTGATGCTTCTGCTAAAAGTTATTGCGTCGGCTTTGGACTAATGGCTTTTGGATGCTCGGGGGTTGGGGACTGCAAGAGATCTTTCAATTAGGGGTTCACTTAAATAAGGGGTTCAGGGTTCGGTGCTCCGTGGGGTGCTTCTAATGCTGTCGAGTCCGACGCCAAGTTGGTGTCCCGGTAGTTGCTCAGTTTTTTGTAGATGGCCTCTTTTCCTTCTGAGGCCGATAGACCCAAACCACGTGATAAAGGATGCTAGGCATCGTAGCAGGACGAAAGCCTGAAAGTTTCGCCACTGAAACATGGATCCTACTAGGAAGCCAAATTCCGGAACATACGAATAACGCAGTAATCCAGACCCCGCTACAAGGAGCATGGTGCTGCGTTCGTCTCAACCTGTGAATTGAAGCTACGACAATTTAAGTGCAACTTCCTTTTCCAAATTATGTGATTCTCCTTCCGCCGGCGTTGAGCTTTGCTTAGAGAGGGTTGAGGGGGTAAGACTAAACCCGGAACCCGAAACCCGACAAAAGACCGTGCAACTGACGCAACCGTACATGTAATCTCTGCGAGCCGACCGTGTCTTTGGCATCCTGCGACACGTCCGACCACTCCACGCCTGGCTTGGGTTTAGAATTCTGGGCATGGTCGAGGTGAGGGAAGCTAAGGGTTCAGGGTTTACGGTTTACTGGTCTGGGGTTTAAGATGGTTTCCAACTTTCTGGGTTGGGTGTGACGTTTAGTCAGAGGGTTCACGTCTGAAGGGCTTTTTAGGATCTCTGTGCTACAATCATTCTTGAGCTTGCGGAAACTGCAGTTATTGAATGATGGGGCTGCGTGTTGCCACAAATGGCGGGTGGCCCGTGCTGTCGGTTGGGCTGCACTGCACATCGATTAAGATTTTCGTTTAGTATGTATATATTTATATAGATAGAAAGATGGATATTGTTCCCATAGGAGCCCAGCTGCCCCCGAGAGAAGTGACTGTCTTTGGGCCGGCGCTATACAACACCCGTGCTCTGAAAGTACGAGTTTGCCTAAACCCTAAACCTCAAGCGAAGTCGGCGGAGTGTGAGTATTTAGTTGCCTTAAAGCTTTCTTCATTAAGGAAAACAAAACCCCTCGTAAACACCTCGTAAACTGAACGATTTCAACTTGCAGGTTGGTCCGGGATAACCATTCATGGTTATGACTACTGTTGATAATGTATCATTACTCTTATTGTTGTCATTGTCACGATCAGTGTGTTTGTGTCTATATACATATATGTATATGTATACACAGTACTACGTATACCTGCATGGGGTTGCCCAACTTGCGAATTAGGTGGCTGGAGCTCTGGGCTGGGAACTTGACTTGTGAATGCATCGACCGGAGATGCGAATCCGCGAACCCTAAACCCCTACATCCCACTCCGATCCCTGGAGGCCCTAGTCCTTCAAAACCCGGTCCAACACAACAAATCTACATACAGGACTCGACAATCTAAGCAAAACTTTATGTTGCATTATCAGAACAATGCAGGAACAAGCTCAAAGTACAAGCCCTGACGACCACCTTGGCAGTCCACCGGTTTGGAAGTCACTGCTTCATGGAAGGCAGCCAGAGACGGATACTTCGTTGGTCGCCGCGGCAGGCTCCCCGTCAGCATCATATGCAAGCCTTGACACATCTGCTCATTTCTTTGCGTAGGATTTTTTGGGTTCATAAAGGAAAACTAAGCATGAAGGAACCAGACAGGACGCATCGGTAAGAGTTGCTGATGTTTTGTTCGGCACGCTTTTGTTACATGCTGTTGTGCGAGGTGCTCGGAGGCAGGATACTGGAGCACAGGTAGAACTACCGCAGGATCGGTATAATTCATAGGTTTGTTCGCTGAAACCCGTATGCATGCCAGTTCTGGCCTAGAACATCCTGATCAAGCCCAGGCCCTTGACCGTGTCAGCCTAAACTGTCACAAAAGCCCTTCAACAAAAAACATCTTGTTTTCCCCAGTATAGCATCTGCAAACACCTTACTTCCAGTGCTGTCCTGGCCCTGCAAAGCTTTTGAGCCCAACGCCTAATCTCTAAACCTTCACAAAACCCCGTGTAAGCCCCTTATATCCGGACTCTCGAAACCCAGCAACAATCATCACAAGCCATCTTGAACCATCTAAACCAAGGAAAATAACCGTAAACTCCCCAAACCCTAAACCCGTTTACACCTGGACTACGCAAACCCTAAACCCTAAAAACCTCAACTCTCTACCCCTAAACCCCCAAACCCTAAACCCCAACTCCCAAACCCTAAACCCCTAAACCCTAAACCCCCAAACCCTAAACCCCTAAACTCCCAAACCCTAAACCCCTAAACCCTAAACCCCCAAACCCTAAACCCCTAAACTCCCAAACCCTAAACCCCTAAACCCTAAACCCCCAAACCCTAAACCCCTAAACTCCCAAACCCTAAACCCCTAAACCCTAAACCCCCAAACCCTAAACCCCTAAACTCCCAAACCCTAAACCCCTAAACCCTAAACCCCCAAAAAACTTCCTAAACCCCTAAAGCCCCGGAGCAAAGGCCGGCTCCCCAAATGTCGTGGAGTTCGGAAGGCGATTCTCCGGCTAAGACCTGTGGCTGTCTCTGCCCAAGGTAAGGGTTTAGGGTTTAGGGCTTTTTTTCCCTCCTACCTAGCAAGGACGAAGCCCGCATTGCAGGGTGTCTCGGTTGAACAGTTGACTACAGCCGCGTGTTTCGATATGCTTAGGGTTTAGGGTTTAGGGTTAAGGCTATGTATGTATGTAATATACACATATTTATATGTATATGTATGTATGTGTGTGTGATTTTGTGTCGGGTCTGGGATTGTGTGCATAATCAACATCTTGGGCAAGGGTGCTCGCTTATTTCTTTCCGGGGTTGCGCTGCATTAAGAGATTCAGCTTCATGCAAAGCCGGGCTTCTGTGTCACCAAGGGGAGATCCTTAAATATGCACTCAGCAATGCTCTAAGGAGCCATATCAAATCGTTGAGTAGTTGAGGGCTTTGGGCTTGAGGTTTCGGGTTTAAGGCTTAGGGTGCCAACATGCTTCCACCCCATGTCATGTGAGGGTTCGGATTCGACCGCACGCCTATGTAAGCCCCGGGTTCCAGACACCAGAAATGTAATTGGGACCGAGGGTTCCAGGAAATTCATGACCCGAATGGGGTCCTGATTTTGCTGGAACCAGAAAACCCTCAACCCAAATCCTAAACCCCAAAGCGTGACCGTGAAGGTTGAACCATGATTCCCTCGAAACCCCGTACGAACAGATCCGGTGTCCTAGGAGCCCATGGAAACTGAAGGCTTGAGGCAGGCTTTGGGGCTTTAGGGTTTAGGGCTTCAGGCCTTTGTGGCTTTTAAACTTTATAAGGTTTAGAGAACGATTTGGGGCGTTAGGGTAATTTTGGGATAGTACAGCGCAGAATATAGCACACCAAAAAATGCAACAGCTTACTTGCTTGCTCCAATTCCAAGCCCACGTACCCTCTGCATTGGTAGCCGGACCCAAAAGAACCCAAGTTCCGATCCCCCTGTTCCAAACGGAAAAAACTTTGAATTGCAGGGGCCTCAGAAATTCGAACAGGGATTTCTATCACCCGCCCAGCTGACAAAGGGTTTGGGGTATCATGTACCAAAACTTTGCAAGCTCTGTACGGGGATACCGCATATTATTAACATACTATTCCGACCGACATGGTCCGCAAAGGAGGCAACCGACTGTCGGAACATGAGATAAGGATAATTAGTGCTGGGATTTACATTGAGGAAATCAGGAGAATGATGTTCCAACTTTCCGGCTTCCGCCGTACCCCTGAAATCCCTGAACCTTAAACCCTAAGCCTAAACCCTAAACCCTTAAACCCTTAAACCCTGAACCCTAGACCCTAAACCCTGAACCCTAAACCCTTAAACCCTGAACCCTAAACCCTAAGCCTAAACCCTGAACCCTAGACCCTAAACCCTGAACCCTAAACCCTTAAACCCTGAACCCTAAACCCTAAGCCTAAACCCTGAACCCCAGACCCTAAACCCTAAAAACCCTTAAACCCTGAACCCTAAACCCTAAGCCTAAACCCTGAACCCTAGACCCTAAACCCTGAACCCTAAACCCTTAAACCCTGAACCCTAAACCCTAAGCCTAAACCCTAACCCTTAAACCCTGAACCCTGAACCCTAAGCCTAAACCCTAACCCTTAAACCCTGAACCCTGAACCCTAAGCCTAAACCCTAACCCTTAAACCCTGAACCCTGAACCCTAAGCCTAAACCCTAACCCTTAAACCCTGAACCCTGAACCCTAAGCCTAAACCCTAACCCTTAAACCCTGAACCCTGAACCCTAAGCCTAAACCCTAACCCTTAAACCCTGAACCCTGGACCCTGAGCCTAAACCCTAACCCTTAAACCCTGAACCATGAGCCCTAAGCCTAAATTCTAACCCTTAAACCCTGAACCCTGAACCCTAAGCCTAAACCCTAACCCTTAAACCCTGAACCCTGAACCCTAAGCCTAAACCCTAACCCTTAAACCCTGAACCCTGAACCCTAAGCCTAAACCCTAACCCTTAAACCCTGAACCCTGAACCCTGAACCCTAAGCCTAAACCCTAACCCTTAAACCCTGAACCCTGAACCCTAAGCCTAAACCCTAACCCTTAAACCCTGAACCCTGAACCCCAAACCGAAACCCTCGGCTCGTCGCTGCCCGCCTCCGGCGCGGAATACTCCACGGTGCCCGTCATGGTGAGGGAGCCACCATCGAGGAGGGAACGAGCTGTGTTGAAGTCGGCCAAATGAAGGTCGGAAAGGTCCTTCCATGGAGTAGGCTTTTTGTTTAAGTTAGGTCGGGTTATGGAGTAGGGTTTAGGGTTTAGGGGTCCTTCCGTGGAGGGTGTTGGCCGGTTTAGTCTCGTCTGTCTGCTTTGTTTCTTCGGTTAGGCTTCAGAGGGCTTGGGGTTTAAGACTTCGTGCTTTGAGCTTCGCACTACGGCGAATTAGATTACCCAAAAGTTGATTTGGGGCCGGGGGTTTCGAGGTGAGCTTTCAAGGCATTTACATAGGAGGAAAGAGTCTAGCCGCGTGTTTCTTTAGAGTTTCGAATTTCGACGTAGAGGTCGAGGATTAAGAGTGTCGGGCTTTTGGCTGAGAGCCTGGGGTTGAGTTTAGCGTATTCCCTTTAGGCATTCTGAGAAACCTCGCTCTACATGTCAGGGTGAAAGAAGGAACTGCAAACGCGCATCCCATGGTAGAGGCTGATCCTTCTGGAGCCCGGGTTTAGAATAAACATTAGAAGGGGCCCCCAGCCTGTAATAGTGACTATAAGGATTATATTAGGGCCCTATTATATTCCTATTATACCACTATTACAGGGTGGGGGCCCCTTCTAAAATAAACATGACTTCCGGTGGAACCCTGGAGGCTTCCAAACCGCTAGCCCTAAGCCCTAAACCCCTCACCCTCAACCCCCTCAGCCCTAAAGCCCTAAACCATGGCTTTCCTGGTTGGGGGCTCAGGGTGTAAGACCTTCGGGCTCTGGAATCTGCGGCTTCAAATAAATTGAACACCTAGGTGCGTAGATATGCTTTCATGTGTTTGTTATACACTGAAGTATACATATAAACATATATATATATATATAGATATATGTGTGTATATATATATATACTTATATTTATGCATATACGTCTGTGTGACTATAGGTGTATGTGCATTATATAGGTGCGTATGTATGTACGTCCATACGACTTTGTGCACAGTCAGGTCTGGACAGATGCAGCGGACACATTAACAAATGCGCACATGCATAAAAAGCATGGTTAACAAGCATCCACACAAACACCCTTACATGCATACATACTTACTTACCTACATACGCACTTCCACACACACACATACCTAATTCGATACATGCATACATACATACAGACAGATACAGACAGACAACCAGGCAGACAGACGAGACGGTCACAGAGACCGAAACAGAGACAGGCAAACAAGCAGGCCTTCATTCACACGTGCGCACATTGCACAGTCAAACGCAAATCTTCATACGTCTTTGTGGATGCGTTTCCACGTCTATGACATTCTAGGTATCTGCCTACCTAAGAATCAACCCATCCTATCAACCCGTATAGTTCTACCTGTAAAGCTACCTGCGTATCTATCGATCTACCTACCTATCTACATATCTAGCTAGCTAGCTCGTTATCTATCAAATGACCAGGCAACATGCGTGTTTTTGTGTTGAAGTGGTTGGGATCGCTCTACGTAATGGCTTTATTAAGCCTAAGGGTCCATGTACTCATATAGTATATACATTGGCCTTAATGTAGTCCCTATATAGGTAGTTTGGGGCCCATGTATCTCTATATGGGTACATGGACCCTTAGGGTAAATTCCTGAAAGGCCCTAACCTAAAGACTTGAAGCTTCCGCGCTAGCTCCCGAAAACCGATGCCTGAATCCTACATACCCCTCCCAGACAGGTTTAGGGTTTAGGGGTTTAGGGTTTAACGTTTTAGGGTTTAAGGGTTTAGGGTTTAGGGCTTAGGGTTTAAGGGTTTAGGGCTTAAGGGTTAGGGGTTTAGGGTTTAAGGGTGTAGGGGGTCCTCAGAGACGAGGATGTTGTCTGCCTTTACATCGCGATGCACGATGCGATGCTGGTGGAGGTAATCGACGGCTGCGAAGAGCATCCGGCCAAGAGGCTTGGCCACCTGCCAATTCCAGCTCAGGCCTCTACCTAAATTTACATTCTGAATCCTGGAAGGGTAAATTCTGAATCCTGAAAGGGTCTGAATCCTGAAAGGGTCTGAATCCTGAAAGGGTCTGAGTCCGTAGCACGTTGTTTTGGATTTATTTTGCCTCCCGCCCGGCTAGGACGAACTTACGATGCAGGGTACACTCATGGCATCACTTCACAGAACTATACAATCGAAAGGCTTCCCAGTGTGTCAATCCCATTTGTCGCATGCTTTTGCAATGCTCATGGGGGTTGGAGAAGGGACCCTAATCTTGACAACTACCCCTATAGATATAGACTCTACCCGGAGCGGGGAGCCACCAAGCACCTGCCACCAACAAATATAAAGCCCGAAACCCTGGGCCCTGTAGAAATTTATGCAAAGCGGTCTTGCTTGTAAAGGGCTCAAGTGGGCTCAAGGTTTTATCTAAGAGTCTAGAAGGTGCAGTTAAAGCACTTGAAAAATATTAAGTAGGTAAGATCCTCTTAAGCCCAATAAGAGCAAAACATACAATGTCCCTCTTAAGCCCTACCCAGGGAGTGACTCATTAGGAATAATACTGAACTTAGAACCCTAGCAAAAATTGTAATTTCAGCTGTTTCTTAGGGATTCTAATAACCAAAAATTAAAAACTATTTAAAACTATTTCTAAGTACCCCTAAGATAAGCCCGAATCCTGGAGTCGTCGGGATGGTCTTTGGCTGATCACTTGGAGGGTCAGGGAACTTAGTAAGTAGGTAGTAAGTAGATTTAAAAGTTTACCTTGCCGCTTACATGGGGCATCCGAAGCCTCCGCTTGTAGGATCAGAGGATTTACTTTTGGTTAGTAGGGAATGGAGGAAGGCGGTACAATTATAACGATGATTACTTCCATTGATCCCAGCATATCAGTACGACGACCAGACTAAGCGTGCTAGAGGGAGCATAACGCGCCTGAAACTTCTTTTCGAGACAACCCTGAATCCAACCTCAAAACACTACGCGGCAAAACCCATGCAGATATTTCAATCCCAACCTCAATCCGCCACCCTTATACTTTATACCCTAACCCTGAAGCTACAGAGCCGCTTATCAGCCACAACACCCTTATACAAACCCTTAAACCCTTTTGACACTTGGACTTGATGAATGCCAGCACCCCACTCCCTAAACCCTAAACCCTAAGCCCTCTCTCTCTCTCTCTCTCTCTCCCGGGCATTCGAAACGTCAAGCCCGGTCTAAGCCCTAAACCCCAAAACCCTAAGCCCTAAAACCGCGCCTCCTCGGAGAAGCGTGAGCAGCTACATGCCCGAATTGCTTGCGAGAGGGTGCCGCCTGACAAGTGCTTCTTGGCGACCAGTTGTAGGAATCGGGCTTCAGGGTTGAGGGTAAAAGTTTAGGAACCGGGCTTCAGGGTTTAGGGTCAAAGTTTAGGAATCGGGCTTTAGGGTTTAGGGTAAAAGTTTAGGGATCTGGCTTTAGGGTTTAGGGTAAAAGTTTAGGAATCTGGCTTTAGGGCTGAGGGTCAAAGTTTAGGAATCTGGCTTTAGGGTTTAAGGTCAAAGTTTAGAATCTGGGTTTGGTTTTGGGGGTCAAAGTTTAGCAAACTGGCTTTAGGGTTTAGGGTCCAAGTTTAGGAATCTGGCTTTAGGGTTGACCCGCTAGTAGTGCTGCCTACAAGCTGTAACAAGAAAATTCCGACCCAGCTCAGCCGGACATTCGGCAAGGAATCTCGAAGTCTTCACACGCCTTGGACCCTACCCTGAATGAGCCCTAAACCCTCAACTCTAATACCCTTTTCCCTACTAACCTCGAACCACTTCTTCCTCCTGAATGATCCTAACCCATATGAACCCTAAACCCTTAACCCTGAAACCCTAAACAACCCTTTTTGCACAGACTTGGATATGCCCACCCCAAACAACCCTAAACCCTAACCTCAACCACTTCTCCCTCCTGGAGGATCCTGACCCATTTGAACCCTAACCCTGAAACCCTAAACAACCCTAACCCCTAAGCTTAAAGCACTTCACCTAAACTACCCATATAAGCCCGTATATGAACCCTAGAAACCCTATAATCCTCTAGCACTTCCCCCTCCTGGATGATAGCTCAAGACCAGGACGGCTGTCCGATCCGAGCAGAAGAAATCCAACGCTCGGACCTTTGGTCTCCAAGGGTTGTTTTTTTGTTTAATATTTTTGTCTTTTGGGGGAGGGGGGGGTTTCGGGGGTCAGGGTGTTTAGGTGTTTTTTTTAATGGGAGATCCCCCCTGGCTTAACCCTGGGGGACGTGGAAAATGGACGCGCCCATTTTCGAGGGTCCTCAACATAGCTACTGCCCGGATCGGTGTATGTAGCTTGATGTATGGGTGGGGGGTTCGAGGGTTTCAGGGAAGATACTACCAGGCCATGACACAACAAGTAAAATGGACAAAAACATCTGTGGCGTGCTTCATGTGGTTTTGGAATGCACATGCTGTATGTAACTCAAAGTCCTATGCAGCACATTGTCGGACAGCTTGGCGACACCCTCTTTTTTCTTGCACCGAACGGCGCTTGTTGCGCTTCGCTCGCCCAGCAGCCGTCGCCTCGCGGCACAGGGTTAGGACTTGAGGGATACAAGATGGTACAAGGCAAGGGTTCAGGATTTAGGGATAGGAGGGTTTGCCTTATGTTGATTTTGTGCAATCCTGGCCTTAGGCACAGCCGATTCCCGCTCGCCCTTCACGCCACGATCCTCGGGCTCAGGATAGGCACTTTAATTAAGGTTGTCCTACGGCTTGGGCTGCAAGGGTCCGCGAAGTTTCGACCAAAACGAATCCCTAGCAAAACCTTATCTTTTCAAACCCTAGGCCCAAAACCACGATGTGCTGATTGAGGCTCGCAGGTGTGGCCACTGCATCGATCCGGCTGCACAGCTTACGAAGCTTTTCACCAGCGGAAGCATCCTTTGGGAAGACCGCCGCCAGCTCCGCAAGCACACTTTTACCGAAGTTCTTATTCGAGACCGCGGCGAAGCTCACGTCGAAGAACTCGGCCGCCTGGCAGGTGATGACATCCCATCTCAGCGACGCCCCCGCTCCAACGGAGATCATCCCCTGGTCGTCCAGGATCTCGAACCCCGCAGCCTTGTAGGCAGCTGGCAGCCTTTGGAAGAAGTCCTCGATGCATCTTGTACCAGACATGCTTCGGCTGAACATGGAGCACACCCACACCTTCGGCCCAGCATGCATTTCCTCGGGCCCTTCTGCGCCCTCCTCTGCACTGGCCTTCGCTTTGAGCCACTGCTTCGGATTCTCACTGATCTTCTCGAACACCTCGGCGAAGCCAGAGCCAAACTTGAGGACCAGCTTGGTCTCCTTGCTGCTGACGCCTGCGACCAGCAGCTCGCAAAGAACGGTGTCGAGAGGATCCATCAGGGAGATCTCGGAGAGGCCGCAGGTGAAGTACTTGGCACCGTCGATCTTCGTGCAGCGTGCGACCCGGATCACAGCCGTCGAAGCTAGCGGAAGCGGACCTTCCAGAGCTTATGTAAAAAAACCAAGGACAAAAGAAAAACCTAGATCCTTAATTAATCCCAAACCCGAAAGCATCCTAAACCGTGAGCCGCACATGCCTGGGGAAGCTCTCGTCGCCCGCATCCGCCGGGTAGCGGTGCCATCCTTCTTGGTGACTGCACCTCGCCAGATCGATGCTACGACGCCCACCTGCACCTTCTTTTGGCCGTCCAAGTAGGCCACGACCTGCGGCGCTTGCTTCCCGTCGTCGGGACGCATGTGATCCGGCCTCCAAGCAATCTTGCTGCCATCGCCCACGGATGCAGTCGCTGCCACGACCTTGTCCTGTACGGCCATCCATGCATTGCTGCGGCTCTGTCGGCCACCGTGGATCAACGTGGCAGCTCTGCCTCTCGCCAGCTGCGACTGCAACAGGTTCCAATCGCTCGCCGGTTTGGCACCAGTCACTGCCGTCCGCGACAAGATGCCCTCCCTCTGTCGCACCGAAGCAGCAAACTGTCTCATGGCGCCCATGAGGTGCTGCTGCCGTTCCAGTGTTCGGTCCGCTGTCCAGGCATCGATGGCCGACATGTTGAACGGATCCAGGCCCAGCAGTTCACGCTGCAAGCCTTGGGGATCGAAGAAAAAGAATCTAGGGGATTTGGGGTTTAGGTTTAGGTGCTTGGGATATCTCGGGATTTAGGATGTATGGATGTGGGGCTTATAGCCGGTTCGGTTGGTGCAGTAAGCCGGGAAGCTCAGCCAGCAAGCATTCTTCGAGTTGATCTGGTGGCTCGGGCCGCTCGACTTGGCATCCACACCGCAGCCTACGATCGACTTCGGAACAGGCTCTGGATCCTGCACCGCCGGCACAACCTGACCTGGGTCTGGATCCTGCACAGCCGGCACAACCTGACCTGGCTCTGGATCTTGCACAGCCGGCACAACCGGATCGGTCGCCTCGTCATGAAGGGCTGCTAGCTCAGCCTTCACAGCTGCATGGTCCTCCGCCGCGGTGACCAAGTCCAAGTTCTGCTGCACCGCCATCGCTGCCGCATCCTCGGCCTCGTAGTCGATCTCATGGGCCTCCTCGTCAAAGACGTCGAGGGCCGCCACGCCCGCCGCATCCTCGTGGATTTCCTGGTCACAGTCCTCCTCTGCAGGAGCACCGGCAGAGCCCTGAGTCATCATCTCATGGCCCTCGGATTTCCACCAAGCCTTGAAGTTCTTCACGATCTGCTCGGAGGGGACTTTGTAGCTCAGGTACTCCAGCAGCTGAGCCGCAGTCTGGAAGCCGCGGTCGACACAAGCAGCTGCCGTCTCCATGCTGAGCTCCGGAGCAGCGAATGCCTCCCCCTTCGCCGGAGCTTTCACCTGCTTCAAGTGTTCCATGTGCTGGGAGTAAATGGAGTCTCTGATGGAAGGGTTGCCGCGGTAGGCGGCCTTGCAGCGGCCGAACCAGCTTTCCACGCATTTCTCCTGCACCTTGGACGGGTCCATGCCTGGCGAGTGGACGGTCACGAGGATCATCGTCACGAGCGAGAAGCAGACGTTGCGGATCCTCTGCAAGGGCAAGAAGTGCAGTTCCCACCCTTGCTGAAAGGACAGCTTGGACTGGGCCAGCCCCATCAGAAGCACAAAATAAGCAATGGAAGCGTTCGTCACCCGAACATCCGGAGCTATGCCTGCCGAGCCCTCGGATGCCGAAGACACGAGGGCACTGAGGAGCTGTATGAAGCACACGCCGCAAGACAGCCAACTCCTCTGGCTGTAGCCCGGGTTGAAGCGGTCCAGGGCCTGTTTGTCGCTCTGGTTGTCTGTCAGGACGAACGACTTCAGCGGAATGCCACCTTTCAGCATGATGGAGTAGTCGACCACGGTGTCGCCGAACTGGACACTTCTCTGGCCGCTGCCTTGCAAGGAGTAGTAAGGTTTCAAGGTTCATGGTTTTGAAAAGCCCCTAACCCTGAACCCGGGAACCTGTGTGGAAGGGTGGAGGGTGTCCAACGTGCAGTGCACCACCTGTGTGCCCTTGTACAACATCCGCTGGAAGGGCATGAACTTGAAGCCGAGGAGGGGCTGGTAGGAGCAGTGCTTGAAGAACGGAACCGTTTCTGTCACCGCCGTTGGTGTCAGCCCCAGTGTGGTTCGAACCAAAAGCATGTTGGCGGTGCCGGCGTCACAGGCGAAACCTGCCGGTGCATACCCTCGGTTCTCCTGCACAAAGGACTCGGCAATCTGGCCCATCAGGGCCAAAAAGAACAGCGACTTGCCGGTGCTACCGGGTGGCATTGGTACTGCCGCCACGCACCATAAGGAGGAGTTGCTTTCCACACCGCTGGCGATCACGTTGACCGTGAGGCTCGACAGCTTGTCGGGCGGGAAGGTGTCCCCGGCCTTGAGCACGGAATAGTCCTCCGCCGCATCCTTGTGCCACGCCCCTCCAACAATGCAGCATTTGCCAGGTTCTTGCAGTCCGACAACAGGCATGTAGGTTCGATGCCAACATGTCTCATCCACCGCCAAGAAAAACGCCCGCGGTTTCGTGGCAGTGATGGCCAGCTGCTCTAAGATCGAGCGGGCATTCTCGGTGAGGCGCTCTGGGCTTGCATGTGCCAAGAAACACTGAGGCACCCCGGGCATCAGCAAGTTCACCTTGGACTTCTGGTCCGTGACACCGAAGACACCCAGCAAGCTCTTGGTCCCAGAAGATCGCCCCAGTGTCCCATAGACCTCTTCAACCAGGAAGTGCTCAACGCCCTTATGCCGCTGAACGGCTTTATAGAAATGAACGGCCTTATGGCAGTGTCTTTCAGAAGTCACGGTTTCATTCCAAAAGTTCTGTGCTCCTGATGCATATTTTGTCGGAACTTTTAATGATGTGCACGAGACGATTTTGATTTGTTGCTCAATGATCATGATGCTACATACTTAAATTGAAATAATCTTTCGGTGTCCGAAGATATATGCTGTCACATACGATCGCATGCTGTACATTACGACCGCATTTTAAAGATATTCGCACATGTCAGCATGTAGGACCAGCATGCATGCTGCAGGATATGTACGTCCCATATATGGTTTCGCAGCTCGTTGCCCAAACGTTTGAGGATGTCCGAAGGCTTCGCGGTCAAAGTTCGGCACATAGCTTCGAGGTTGCACGCGTATTGCGACGAGGTCGGGTTCGCCGCACAGGTCAGCTGGCTCCTAAGAACACTTTGAGGTTCGGTGCATGTCGTGAAGCATTTTCTTGGTGCGGTGCTATCCACGAGCCGCGGTACTTTACAAAGACTGCTGTCAGAGCTGCATTGGAGCATTTGCTAGACGCTTATAGGGTAGAAGTGCCGCTCTGCGAAGCCGACGGGCTCACACGTAAGGACTGGCTGCGCAAGCAAACGAAGCTAATACAGCATCTTTGCAAACGTTCGGTGAAACATTCGCTTGCACCGCCACGCGGCAAAGAAGCCGTAGAAAAGCCACCGGCCATGGATGATGCCGACACGCAAGCGTGGGCCATGGAGGACCCGAACAGTACAATTTATGTAGGCAGCAAGTTCCCAGCATCGTTCGCTGCAGGATGTTGATGTTACAGCGAACGCTGTTGCAAGCACTCCTGCTGCGGGGGAGCCTCGAGCCACTCGTGAGCAACAGCTACGCCATGATTAGCTCAAGAGTTTGTAAAATCATCGATCAGGTCAGGATTCTGCGCAAGAGTGCGCTGAAGAAGAAGGCCAGCACCCGCTGGGTTTTCCATATATATATATATATATCTACCTCTATCGATCATCTATCTATATTTATCCATCTATATTCCTATTCATATCAATTTGATGGCTGTCTGTGCACACTCTGAGATGACGTGAGAGGTAGGGGAGCGAAACACTGCAAAAAAACGCCACCCTCGCCCATAAAACGCAAAGAGAGGGAGGGAGATATCTATAGAGAGGAGAGACAGCGAGAGAGAGAGAGAGAGAGAGAGAGAGAGAGAGAGAGAGAGAGAGAGAGAGAGAGAGAGAGAGAGAGAGAGAGAGAGAGAGAGAGAGAGAGAGAGAGAGAGAGAGAGAGTGTGTGTGTGTGTGTGTGTGTGTGTGAGTGAGATAGCACGAGAACACGACCTTTAAAATTGGGGATCGACTTAGAAGTTCAAGCCCATCAGGTCTGGGATTCCAGGATTGCAGCATCCTTTTTTACGGCTCATCCCGCACGCACAGGCTCTGTCGACCGACTCTGTGGATACCTCGGCCGTGGCTACCAGGGAGTGGGGCGATTGGAACAAGGACGCCGAGGAGGATGATGAATACAAGGCGGGCGGTGTTGGGTCCGCTTGACAACTCGACTCGAATCTAGATTCTCAACGGGTGCCCTCAAATAACTAACTGTATGCACGCAGGCCTTGATTGATGATTCGTGGCTTCACGAGCACCAGGCGGGCATTCGTTCACATGCACATCCATATTATTAGATTGCAAATATCAATGCCACAGTCGTATCTTCGAGGAGCCCGAAACAACGCCCGAAGCAGGAAACCAAGGCGGGACTTTAGACTGAATTGCACACATGCAATGGTGACAGCATGTTACTCCAGCTGTGCTGCGGATCGTATGTAGGTGGCTCTGCCGAGTCCTGGGTTGCCAATGGCATGGAAGGGGATGGCTCTGCATGGCCATGGCTTGCAGCCGATGATCAAAGTTGGGATCTTACGTGTATCGAGGCCTCCGGAGATTCAGATCCTGTTAATCCATGGCCTGCTGAATTAAGGCTGGGGTGATGATGCAACTTGGGGTTGCGAGGGTCAAGGGCTTAAAGAGAAAGCCCCCTTCCGCCGACAAGTTTCCTGGCGCGACGAAGCTGGCCTTTCGTTGGAGTTGCCCGCAGCTGCCAGGTAGCAATCAAGTACAGCGTGTGTCGGTGGCTCGATCATGCGTCAATGGTGCGAAGTAAATACAACTAAGGCGAGTCAGCCCGAGACAGAGCCGCGCGAGCTACTCGACCTGACCTAGTAATCAGTCCTCTGCAATGCGGCTATATGTTGCAACACTTATATCGAGGTGGTGGCTGGATGAAAATGTGGATCACGACGAGCAGGCCCCATTAAGAACATAAACTTTCACAGAGAGGGCTTCGTGCCTATGTGCATACAATGCGGGCAGGCGGCTGATGATGGAGGTTGCTGGAATCTGGCTCCCGATCCAGCTGCGACCTTGGGTCGGAGAGTACCGGCACAAATTGTTTCAGTATATAAATTGAAGTGATTCAGGAGGAACCGACGAATGACGAGATCTACGAAGGTTTCGGGGAGTTCCTGGAATCCAATGGATGGTTTGAGGATGATGAGGAGGCCCCATACAGCATACACACACCTTCGGATACCAGAAAATAACCTATAACCGTTAATCCTAATTGTCTCGGACCGTGCACGTGCAGGTGGATGGGAAGGCCACTGAGAAACAGTGGGATGATGATTTGGTGAATCACGACCTCGAGCAAGCAAAGGAGGCTAGCCTATAGCAACCATCGAGTGGTCTGTGCAGCACTATAGTCTGAGGCGGCCATGGACAAGACTCGAGCGACTGATCAGCCGGATTCTTGCCAGCTTTATGAGAGCGAGAGAGAGAGAGAGAGAGAGAGAGAGAGAGAGAGAGAGAGAGAGAGAGAGAGAGAGAGAGAGAGAGAGAGAGAGAGAGAGAGAGAGGGAGAGAAAAAAAACAAAACAAAACAAACCTGTAAGGAGCCGGGGCATCCGTTTCGCGACCAACCTGATGTCGCGACGCGGCCGATCAACCCCCACGCTCAGAAGCTGGTGCTGGCCAGCAAGCAGCCAGTGGACTGGAAGCCAGAGAAGCCAAAAGCCAAGGCAAAGCAGGCGGCCAAGGCCGCAGCCAAGAAAAAACCGAAAAGCAAAGCAAGGCCCAAGGCACGAGCACGAGCAGATGGAACCCTGACCCCGTACACTGCCGCTTTTGAGTCGTTCAAGGAACAGCCACCAAGCCGCATCTATACATTGGTTTCGCATTAAATTCGTTTGTAGATTTACAATCATGGGGTGATTGCGAGAATGAGGCTTTTGGCTGATGACCCCAAGCTCAAGTTGAAGGATGTGAGGGCTCAGTGCCGTCTCGGAATTAGATGAGTGCATATATGTGCTACCAATCCTGTGGCACATGTGCCTGTGTGTGCTGATAAGTTTGCACCTAAGGTGGTGGTATTCGGAGGAGCGGTCTACCGTTCTTTCGACCATCCCGATCAAGGAGCAGAAGAAGCGCCGATACATCTAGAATCTAGGTGAGACGAGTGGCGGCAGGGGCCGGCTGCAGCTTTATCCACAACATGCCTCAGTTGTCCGTTTACATACAAACACTCGATCGTTACGATTGAAAGCCACCTGTGTGCCATCGTCGAATTGTTCCGGTCACGAACGGCTGCGATCTTTCAAATCACACAGCTGCCGGGGTTGCGGCAAAACAGTGCATGCATGCTGCTCATGATACTTGAGGTGCCGATCGATGTGCTTCAAAGCTTGTACCTGTGTGCATGCAGTGCGTATCAGGCAAGCTAGCTGCAATGTGGTCACAGCTAGATAGCATGTGCATGCACGGTGCAACTCATGTGCAAGCTTGGTGCAACTCATGTGCAAGCTTTACGATTGCTTCATTTTGACGACTATGCGGTACTCCGTGTTGGCCTACGTCCTGACAAGCATGAATGCCAGCCAGATACCCAGCTGCACACCGCGCCACAGTAGAGCTGCATCGAAGTCCTTGGATGCACAGGCTTGCCGTTGGACGAAACCAATTATGTCCACCTCGTGGAGTTCTTTGCGGGTCCCTGGCCTGCAGAAAGAGATCAGCCTGCGACCCAATCCAATCAATTCCTTTGAACTACCCAGCCCCACGTGTTATAGGCTGTGGAGTTCTGGCGGCCGCTGCTACTTCGATTGGTCTTTCGGCCAGGACCTATGACGTGTCGTTTCGGCACTATGACTATGAACACAAGTCGGTTTGATCGAAGCCATTCTGTGTCACGTTTTCATATATATATATATATGTATATACATACACTTATCCGAGGTGGCTGATTCCTCTCGAATGGACCTCTTGAGCAACTTTGGCTTTTTGCTGGCATTGAATCTGGACGCTCGGCTTCCAAGAATAACATTATGCAGCAGAAGCCCGAAAAGCCGAAACTTATATCCAAGGTTCGGCACACCGTCGAGGGCGGTCTCATCTGGTGTGGGATTCCCTGCTCCACGTGGGTCTTCATGTAGCTACCTCAGATCCGTCTTAAGTCTGGAAGGGGATTTTGGGTTGATGGGTTACGTCTTTGGTCTAAGAAGTCGGAGGTTTTAAGTGTTCATACTCTTACCAACTACGAAAAATTCTGGCAGGGTCGTGTCTGTTCTCCGAAGATCGTCAGATTAGAGTTATATTCTCGGATTTGGCAAGCAAGGCTTATAGGGCTTTGTTTCGTGTGTTTCCTGGTATTTCCGCTTCTCGGGGAATCATGATTAAAAGGTGCATTGCTCTGACCTTTAGCTACAGGATTCTCGACCGTGCTCTTTTGGGTTTGTGGTTTCTCGGGCCTGGGCTTTGGGTTTAAAGCTGCGAAGTTCTGGAATAAGGTTTTGTGTTATGTTATATATACTCAGTATATATACCAAATTTGATGGTTTGTGTTAACACAAACCATCAAACTTGGTATATATACTGAGTACTGGTGTTCGAGTCTAGAAGAAATATCATTCAGGCCGGGAGTCTTTTTACAATGCATGTTTGATAGGTCGCAGCAGATTCTGCTGTGGTTGCATATGGGGCAGCTAATCAGAGTACCCTCGGTTTGGATCTGAAGGATATATAGATTCAATGTGTGCAGTTTCGATTACCCCCAATTCTATGGATAAGAACCTATACACAGATCGCTACGAGAAAGCCCTACGTCTTATATGCAACAAAATGAATGCAGAACCCGAACACCGTCGCCACTGTACCAGTTGATGCTCAACATCGCACACATAAACCTTATGGCAGCGTTTAGGGCTTAGGGTTTGGGGGTTTGGGGTTTTTTCACTCCTATGTAGCAAGGACGAAGCCTGCACTTCAGGGTTTATAGGGTTTAGGTTTAGGGTTTAGAATTGGCAGTTACGTGATCCGTTCCTATATATACATAGAGGCTATAAATAAGGTGTCCGGAAATTGGTCCCACTAGCATGCAAATTAATCATTGGGCTAAGTGTGTGTAGGTCGGTGACGCACCGCAAGATTTCCGATAGATGGTCATCGAAATCCTGGAATCTCGAAACAGCCTGGATCCCCAATAGTCAGGGTCAACATGGGTCATAGTTGATTCGAGAAAGAGTAGTTCTTAAAGATCCGTATACGCATGTGTGATTAAAGCTGCAGCCGCCAGACCACAAAGCAACATCGTACTGTGGCATACTCGAGCATATCAACATATGCACTGTACGCAACGCTATTGCAGCTATGTGCAGCACTGTACGCAACGCTATCGCCCTACAGCCGCAGAGTTACCTGAGCTCGCATGTAACGTTTGGCCGGCTGCTGCTATCTGACTTAAGAACGAAGGAAGCTAGGTGATGAGCTCATTCTGTGACGAGCTCCGGCAATAAAGCCGCACAGAGGGTGCTGATTCATTAGCTCATGGCCATGTGCCGCGGTTGTGCAGTCTGTGTTGATGAAACGATGAGGCATGACGACTTCTGGTTTTTTATGGGTCTATAGGTAGTATACACTTCGGGGCATTAGGACGCGCGTGCACGGACGACTAACTCATTGCATGGCCGGTCAACACTTTGCAGTATCTTGAATGATTCCCAGGTTGCCAAGAGATCGTCCATGCTATGCTCTTCATGGTTGCCGCGGGATCTGCGAGTAATGACGGACGACTTGTGATTTATACGTGCAACACTGCTAGTGCAGCAAAGCCCTCAGCAAACCGAGATGGGAAGACCGATTCCGCTTTGCATGGCATTGGTTGAGCGATCTGGGAGGGACGAATACGACGGCTTCAGCCGGCTTGTGCTTACTTGCATGTGTCAGTGGCATGGTACTCACGATTCTCTGCGACACGCATTTGCGACATTTCGTGGCGCATATGATTGCATGGCCGCCGTTAATTAACCCGCTGGCTGCTTGCATGACGCCGTTTGCATGTCGCACATTCGCGTAGGCATGCCGGTCTCTTGTGGGGTTTGTAATTGGGGTTGATTTACTTGCCACTCGAAACCTTCGCCTACAGCGACCGATGACAGATTGCGTGTAGCTGCGTAATTATACAGCATGAACCCGGCTTGTGCTTGTATCACTGCATGGACACGCATTTGCGACACTTCGTGGTGCAATAGAATAAATGCTAGAATGCTAGCCCACACGCACACACATCGTACACAGAATTGAGTGGTGCCAAGGTCCCGTGGCTCATCCAAACGATCCTTTCTGCGTCCGCAAGGACCCGCAAATGCTTCATCGATCTGAGCCGGCCGGACCTTTGTGTGCATGCATGAGTGATGTCTGCAGGACTGGGAAGCCGATGTGCTACTGGTAACAGGATCTGCCGCCGAATGTGTTACTTGCTGCTTGGAAGCATCATACAATCATCCGAAGCCGATTACTTTTGCCAGAGACCACTTCTAAGGCTGCAATATGCATACGCCAAAGGGGTGAACTTTGTCATCGAGAACCCCAGTTCAACATTGCTTTGGCAATACTCGCCGCTCCGGGAACTTCGGCCAACATTTAGCAACATCGCTATCAGCTATGCTTGATGTTGGGTGTGAGTCTGTCTGCAACTGAGAAGCTGCTGCTGAAGATGAAGTTCATGAAAGTCACCGTACACCTGGGGTGTTATGGGTCAGCAACTCCGAAGGCCGCCCCGGGCCCAGGACTGCAAATATCCTCAAGTCGAATATACTTTGTTAATGAGTAGCTCGTGACCCCACGACATCAGAGCAATGTGTGATCTCTCTCAGGTGACGTTGGTTGGAAACTGGGCAGGTCTTCGAGCTCTTCGCAGAACCCTGAATAAAGAGCGCAGGCCGGACAGTGACCTCCAACTGCACAGCACACTCGGCCGTCTTGATAGATCACAAGGAGTTTTGCTTCTACGGTAGTATATCAAACGTACAACAAGCCTGATCCATGACAGGAGCCATCTCCGACGAGTTCGAAGCTTTCTCAAGATCCAGACCACCATCCGTTGGAGAAATGCCAAGGGACAGTCCCGATGTGCTGGGACCCCAATATCGCAGTCAAGATGCTGCACAATCGCTGTTGCTCGTCTGCCCATGCACCACGCATTCACTCGGCACAGGCCGGGGGTCGAGATCTGGAAGCTTCAAAATCCTATCCTGCTGGCTTCGGCTTCGAGGCTCCGACTGCTTGGGTGGGGTCTAAACTAATTAGTTATTCGGATGTAGTCTATACATATACTCCATGACGTCGTTCGCTTCAGTCTACAATTTGACTGATAAGATATGCATCGAACCCCTCTTGGTGCCCATCACCTCCACCCAATATTTAAGATGATGCATTTAAGTATATATAACCAACGACGACATAGGAACTTGGAGGATCGGCGATAAATGTTGCTTCTGGTTTGACCATATAAGCTGCTTGGCCGTAGGTTTCTCTTGTTAGATCACTTAGTTGCACTGCATGGAGACCATCTATATCTATGGACTTAAGTCCAATAATATAGATGTCCATAAATATAGATGGTCTCCATGCAGTGCAACTAAGTGATCTAACAAATTAGGTGAAGCCAAACAACCCGACAACCTATGGTCCATCAGTTATGTGTAGTAATGGCTAGCTAGCCCATTAATGCGAATGATCTTCGAAGTCTATATCGTCCCATTAAGATCGAGCAAAAAGCTGGCTGATATACATAGCATCCCGTGCTTTCCAGGTGGCCCAGATCTTGGAGTCGCAGAAGCTTCAGCCGAGAATCCGTGCCGATGATGATCTTGTATTCCAGGATACCTCAGATTGCTCTTCGGACAGTGGCTTGGAGGACGTTGTGTGAGGCTTCGTGCTGCTGGCTGGCTGCACACATGTTGTAATATGTTACAAGATCCATGGCAGCCATCTCATGAGTGTGCAGCTAGTGCAGCTGTGCAGCTTATAGCAGATTTCAAGCGTGGGCCGGCGGCCTGAGAATGAAAGTTTGCTGCGCCGGCACTTGCAGCAGTCATATGTCGTTTGCCAGACAGAGAGAGCGCACAGACAGAAACACGAAACGAGAGAGAGAGAGAGAGAGAGAGAGAGAGAGAGGCTACAAAGAGAGCTGGGGCGAATAAGGAAGGGAGCTATGGCCGGGAGGAGTGCAAGGATCAATCGAAGTAGGGAGGAGATCGAGGGAGAGCCAGAATGAAGGGACTAGTTAGTACGTAGCTATTTACGTAGCTATTCATACAGACATATCTACCTACATATATGTGATGTGTGTGTGTGCATGCAATGTATGTATGTGTGTGTGGGGCGCATGCACCGACCTCACCAGGGGTTATAGGGCATGCCACACGACACCCAAAGGCATGGAAAGGCATGCAAAGGCATGCGACGGGCGGGGCCGGGAACTTTTCGAAAATTTTCTGAAACTTTTGGTGCGTGCTTTTGCGTGCCTTTGCGTGTCAACGGCCTTATCTGGGGCATCCCAGCGTGCCTTTTCGTGCTTTTGGGTTTTCCTCCCGAGCCCGGTGGTGAAGCGAGCTTGGCGAGCGAGCCCGGCCATGCCTCCGAAGGTGGAGCTGCGGAATCTCAATCCGCAGAGCATGGCCAAGTTTTTTTCCGAGTCTACGTACTCGGACAAGCGTGCCTCCCGCGAGTCCTTGGCCAGTACGACGGCCACTTCGGGAGCTGGTGATGGTGCTATGGTAGGCGGATCTAAAGGATCGGGGCCCGCCACCGCCAAAGGCAAAGCTACCAAAGGCGAGCTCGCGAAGGGCAAGGCTGGATCAGGGGGGCAGGCAAACCCTGGCAAGGGCAGCCTCGCGAAGGGCAAGGCTGCTGGAGCAGATGATCACACAAACCCTGGCAAAGGCAAGATCGCGAAGGGCAAGGCTGGAGCAGGGGATCAGGCAAACCCTGGCAAGGGCAAGATCGCCAAGGGCAAGGCTGGACCAGATGATGAGGCAAACCCTGGCAAAGGCAAGACCGTGAAGGGCAAGACTGATCAGGCACACCCTGGCAAGGGCAAGATCGCGAAGGGCAAGGCTGGACCAGATGATGAGGCAAACCCTGGCAAGGGCAAGATCGCGAAGGGCAAGGCTGGAGCAGGGGGTCAGGCTAACCCTGGCAAGGGCAAGACCGTGAAGGGCAAGGGTGGAGCAGATCAGGCAAACCCTGGCGGCAAAGGCAAGACCGTGAAGGGCAAGGGTGGAGCAGATGATCAGGCAAACCCTGGCGGCAAAGGCAAGACCGTGAAGGGCAAGGCTGGAGCAGATGAGCAGGCAAACCCTGGCAAAGGCAAGACCGTGAAGGGCAAGGCTGGAGCAGATGAGCAGGCAAACCCTGCTGGCAAAGGCAAGACCGTAAAGGGCAAGGCTGCAGGAGCAGATGATCAGGCAATCCCTGCTGGCAAAGGCAAGATCGCGAAGGGCAAGGCTGGAGAAGGGGATCAAACAAACCCTGC